TGCATATGAACATATTGGTAGGGAAAAACCATGTTTCTAAAAAAATTTTAATTGATCTAGCTCAACTCTAACTAGGCTATATTTTAAGACATCGAGTGTAAAGCATTTTGGCGAAACTTTTATAATATGTGTTGTAATTTTAATTACACTAATTATTATAACACTAATTATTACACTAATAAATTGAATTGAAATGTATAATAAACAAGTTAATCCCATATTTGATTAAATTCTTAAAGTATTTGTATAATTGGTGAAGAAATTAGTGCAAAATTAGATATTAATGTAATCATTGAGTTAATGACTGAATATATGCCAAAGAATGTAATCAAATCCCATTTAATAGGTTAAAAACAAAACATGTTCAATAATAGTGCAAATTTATCGCTAAATCAAACTAGAAAGACACTATTCAAGGCTTCCACCAATCTAAACTGGAACACTTGAAGACTTAAGTGTTAAACTTTTTATCATAATATTTGTTGACTTATCATCACTTTTACCTCTTTTATTAAACGGCTACTAATGTATGTTTAAGATACTGTCACTTCTTGAAAAGTATAACTCAATATTATAAACAAATGACATTTAATTAAATTCAATAAAAGTTCACATCATATAAATTGCTATTAATACAAATAATACTTTTAACTATTTTACATACAAGTTACATTTTAAAATATTTAATACAAAAATATAAGTTAAAGAAAACCCTAGTAAAAGGTTTGCTAATCCGTAACAAACGAATTATTATCTTTGGCTCCGGTATGATATAAACCATTTGAACGCTCCTTAAGATTATCATCACTGATGTCATTGTCAGGACTTTCTGTCCACTTCTGGTTCTGTGCGGACGCGAAGATTATGTACACCAATGAAGTGAATGCATAAATGGCAGCCGTCAAGTAAAACACATACGACCAGCCCTGCAGTGTGTTCTATACAATTGCAATTAAGATCATTATAAATCAGTTTTTAACCCGGGTTAAAAATAGTCATTTAACCCGTAGTCAAGAATTACATTATTTGTAGTAAAAGCGTTGGCCACGATCGGGGCGAGGAACCCTGGTATGTTACCCAGACTATTAGTTATGCCCATGAGAGTGCCCGCGTAATCGGGTGCCATGTCAACGTGTGTACACATAAATCCCGAAAATATAAATCCATTCAAACCCATGGCTAAGATAAACAAACCGATACTCGCATTCTCGTCACATTTGGTAAAGACTACACCAATTATACAAAGAGTTGGACCGAAAAAGCCTATATTTTTAAAATTTAACATTTAATGTGAATTTTGTGTTCAAAATATGAATCTAGTGTGTAACCATAACCAACTGACCCACTCCATTACAGAATTTCCTAATCACTGTGATAGGTATGCGTCCCTTTGCCCGCACTTTATCACTGATAGTGCCGACGATCCAACTCATGAGAGCACATAAAAGCCACGGAAGACTCGAATACAAGCCGTTCTTTATAAACAAATATATGTTTAGATCATATTTTCTAATCAATAAGAAATCAATACTTTTTGAATGTCAAGTAATAATATTTTCTCGAAATATGTGGGCAATAGAGTCAATACTGTGAGAAACCCCCAGTTCTGACCGAAATGAGTGATGATTAGCGCCCACATCGGCACT